TCTCTCTCTCTCTCTCTCTCTCTCTCTCTCTCTCTCTCTCTCTCTCTCTCTCTCTTGATTGCTTTCCTTTTTGAACTGATAGTCATCGCCTTTTGAGCTTCTCACCCCCGTACCGGTGACATCAACCGCTTGCGTCCGCGCGGACGGTCGACGCGCCCGCAAGGGGAGAGAGCTTAGACTTCGTCGTCTTCCCTCGACGCACCCACCTTAGAAAGAGAAGAGTTGCGACGATTGTTGTATGGATTCGGTGTTGGTTTGGATGACCGGGAACGCGGGACCTTGCATGTGTTCATCACGTACCTCCGATCGTCTCATCTCGCTACCGACCTTCCCCATCGCAGATGACGACAACGTCTATTGCGATGCGGACGTACGGCGCGCACTGAGGCGGACGGAGCAAGTGTGTTGGCAAGACCCGCCTCGGACTTGTGAGATAAGGGGGAACAGTTTTGTTTTGATTGATCGTTTTGATTCCCCGACTCTAATATTGCCTTATACGGGTTTGACGGTGTTGCCCTGGTCGCCCGCTCACGCCGCGTGGCGGCCGCAGTTTGATTGTCGCTGGTGTCGCCATGGGGACTCGTGTTTTTGGCGACGGCTGGTCCTGGGTTACGAGGGAGAGACACGTTTCCCTGAGCTTTCCCGTAGTGCGGGGGCGCTGCCCGCGCAATTTCGAATTCAGATGCCGGCGAGTCCTCCCGCCGCTTTACCCTCCCGGAAACTTTCGCGCGGACTTGTGAGTCCGACGCCGAGGCGTGAAGGCCCCGAACCAACCACCTCCACAACAAAGACCCGAGGGTTCGGCCACTTTGTGAGGCCAATGATGAGGCCTGAAGACTTCGAACCCACCACCTATCCCCTAAACCCCTGACGGCCGAAGTTTTGTCTTCTGCCGCCATGGCCCTCTCCCCTTGATGCCTTTTTCCGTCCCGATGCATGGCGGCAGTTCATTTTCGCAAAAAACTTTGTGATTTTATCATTTCGGAGTGATCCGACCCCCACGGGACTCCGCGATGACAGTTCGACTCCGGGGAATACCTCTGGCACGAAACGAGGGCCTCCCGTTCCTTCCAGGAGACTCAACCCTTATGGCAAAAAATCCTCGGCCACGCCCCTTCTAGAACTCTGATCGGCGACCCCGTACGGGAAGCCGCGAGGGGGCGTGAGGTTGCGTATCACACGCGCGGCGGCGCGCCAGACATCCATCCGACCAATCAATCAACCGGCCGTCCCAAGACACACCCAGCTCCGTGGGTAGCCATTCGAAAAAGAAGCAACGAAAAGGACGAAAAAACGAGGACACTGATGCAATTCTCCACCGATCCCGATCTCCCATAATTGGCCCAATCTTCCCAGCTTAGGACCCCTTCTGGCAACCGCGCAGAAAATCGCACGTTACAGAAAGTGGTTCATCACAGCTCAGGCCAGTCCAAGTTCCGCCTGGCCTTGGGTAAGCTAGGGGAAGGACGGTAAGACTGCTTCAATGGGTGCTACCCTATCTGAAACCTAGGCCCCAAAGTCTCTTGGGGCCTGTAGTAGATTGTCTGGGCCTGACGTCCGGAGTTCACGTTCGACAAGGCTCGTCCGCTTCCGCTTCCACCAGCCAGGGCTGGACAACCTATCAGCCCTGGTGCCTATCACTACTGTTCGGTCCAAGTTACCTGCCCATTGGTAGGGTAATGGTCCTGACTCCTGAGTGCTGGTCACACTGAGGTAGGATAGTGGGATAGGGGGTGCGCTAGGAGTATTGACGTGAGGATGGGATGGGAGGTGGTCTCATATTCCAGGACACCCACGGCGTACTGTTCCAGGTGATCACTGCCCTAATGAAATCCTATTAGAGAGCAAAACCAAACCCACCCAATTTTTCTAAGGGATGTGGGGCCGGTTCCTGGCTTTTATAAAAAAAAATAAAAAATCTAACAACCTTAGCTACTAACTAGCCAACGAAAGGCAAGCACAAATTAGAAAAAAAATGAATCTGCAGCTACTCAACATGATGTAACTCGTTTGAGAGGCCCTGTGCTTTCAGGGGTCCCCTCTTTATATCCTACCCCTTAAGCGCGGTGGGCCCGCGGGGGGAGATCGTGTTCCGCTGCGCGGCGGAATTGCGGCGAACTTTTGATTCCGCCCGGTGGATGAAGGCGATCGAGGGGGCTGGCGCGTGCCGAGCGGTGCACGTACCGGATTGTTCACAGCGCGCCGGCAAACGAGAGAGCGCGCCCACAGAGGCCGGGCAGTGGCGGGCATCGATGCGAGTGAATAACTCGAAGCGCCCGCCGTCGGATAGCCCGGCCGCTTCGAAAAATGGAAAAAAAAGAAAAAAAGGAAGTTTTTTTTTTTTTTTTTTTTTCCTGGGACCGGGGGTCGGCTTTTTTTTTCCGAATAACTCGAAGTGCGAGGAATGGGTCCAAAAAGTTGTGCTTTTTGGTTTTGTTTTTTTTCGATTTTATTGTTTTTTTCTTTTCTTTTTTTGTTTGATTTGTTTTTTTCACGGTCTTAAACGTCGTTTTCTCTTTGATTCG